CTTCCACTGGCATCTACCATGCACCTCCACCTTATGTCGTGCATTTCGGGGTATGCCATGTTCTTACACTTACACACCTCAGCCGTGGCCCTGCCTAGCTTGCACACGAGCACCGGGTGCGCGTTGCGCTTGAACACGTCCTCAAAACCTCCAGCACAAATGCAGCCATGAGCGCCTGTGGGGCATATTATGAGCTGCTTGCGACGCGCCTCACAGCAAGCTCGCCGCTGCTGCACGGGTATCGCAAGAAGGGCGCCTGATGCGCTGCGTATCCGAGATCACCAGCCACATGTGCCGCGCTGCTCCCTGCGCCGGACGCATAGTGGTCGTAAGACCCAGGTGAGTAACGCCTCCGCAGATCTTACAATATTATCCTGACTTGCCATACATTGTAGGCCTACCTCCCGTGTCTATCTCCTACCACAGCAGAATGAATCTAGCATAGTATACACCAGCATGTACTGTACAATTGTGCACCTAATATACCTCTTCCGTTAATCTATTCCCTATGAGTGAGTGTGCAAAGCCCAGGAGGCCATCTGCTGGTACTATCTACGGGCGAGCTGCAACAGCGCCATGGTATGCTGCTGAATTTATGCAGGCTGCCACGGTGTGCTGCCAAACTTATGCAGGTCGCCACGGGTGCTACGGAGACGTGGCGGAAAACTACTGGTCGCAGGGTAATAGGGGTCAGTTCCACCAGGCTGCTGGAACTACGGAGCTCACGGGGCGCTTCTGGTCCCAGACTTTTTTTCCTGATGGAACGTGAACCTCGACGAAGACTGACCTCAAATATCTGACTCTGTCGCGCTCCACACTTTTATTCCTCCACCAGGTCTCCTACGAATACCGCCTACGGCGCAGGTCAGGTATCTGGACACCAGTGGGACTTGTTACCGCACAGAGCCAGCGGTGATCGCTTGCGCGGCAACATTGGAACATCTCAAGTGCGCCCTGAAGTACTCATACCATCATGGTACGTCTCCCGTGTTACCCCTGTATCGCTGCTGTACTAACAGCAGCGCACCAGAGAACATGTGGCACACACCTCCAAAATTTGACCTTGCGGCCTTGCCTTGCCTTGCCTGCATCAGCTCATAATAGTCATCGAACTCGCTATTCACCGATACGACTACGACGCCGACGCCACTCCAGGCGAGCCCTGGTCCACGCTCGCCGCGTTCGTCACGGCGCTGCGCAAGTGTCCCTATGACACTCCCACCCTCGAGTACATTGAGCTCCAGCTTAAACTGTTCCCATCAATCAAGAAGTACAGGGAACTGTCGATGTCTAAGGATCGGCATGCGTTCTCGCAACACCAGCCATTCGCAAACAAAGCGGACGCGGCGCTTGGTTGCCTCGTGGATAAGGGCCTCGTTAAGTCTGTCAGAGTCCGCTGAATGAGCATTGCGCAGGGGAGATCAGTGTGGGATCTTCAGGATCACAGCTGCTTGAATGCGCTCCTTGTGGACGCATTTCCCAAGCTGCATACGAAAGGCACGGGGCTAATTGATAAATATTTTTAGCTGACAGAGGCACGAAAATGACCACAAGAAAAGAAGCTAAAAAGCCTGAATACTTTCTGGCGAAAATATATGATAAGTAAAATTTGGAAATAAGAGTAAAACAAAGTCGCCTTTTTTTAAGTAAATCTTGTTGTAAAAAGTTGGTCTGCTCGCAGCAAAAAGAGATGCAAATACCGCTGGGCTATCCATATATAGAGTAATACACATGGAGAAAGAAATGATGATGATTTCGCCCTAAGGATAACTCGACTCTCCTAATACCTCAAAAGGTGTAAAAGCAGTGTATCTTTTTTGTACCACTAAAATGATAACATCCCCATGGGGAAATAGCTTGAGTGTATTTATGAAACAAACTGAATGTGCTTTTGTACCTCTATCCGCACAAAATAGTATAAAATTAGCCCCGTGAGGGCGTCTTTGTCTTGTTGATGAAGTCTGCGAGTGTGATGGCTGACGTAAGGCCTTTCGATAACTTACTGTATCTCCTTCAAAGAATTCGGGCATCTCTGTTCTTGAGATAGTTTAACACAATAAACTACCTACATCATATCACACATCTACATCAACGATATGCTGAAGCGTCGTACAATGGGCATAGAGCTGCCAGGTGGGCGCTCTCAAGGCCCGGATGACTTGTTCTGGAAGGAGGCGGTGATTGATCCGCCTGTCTGCTCTGCATCCCGTCTCGCCAGCGTAACCCCTGATTTCACATCTTTTTCCTCTTCCCAACCTTTAAGCTGCATCTTAAATTGCCTCTGAGCTACTTCGAACCAAGACTATCGTTGCGTGTAACCATGGCGTCCTCCAAAGCACTTGTGAGCCTGCCCTTCGACGTCTATGACCACATCTTCGACATCGTGAGGCGCAACGATGCCAACGACTGCACCTTTGACCTCGTACAATGCAGAGATGTCAAAACACACAAGAACTCTCTCTTCGCCGCGTCTAGAGTGTGTAAGGAATGGGCGGACATGACCCTCCGTGCTCGCTTCCACACGCTCTCGCTCGTCATCAAGCTCCCCGGCGAGCAATCGACCGCGAATTGCTTCTTGCAAGACTTTGTCCAGGAGCCCATCTTTACGCACCGTCAGTACGCCAAGAAGCTAACACTGCGCTGGGGATGTGGGAAGAATAGCAGGATCGACTTCGCCAATGTGCTCCCGCGCTACTTGCCCATGTTCCCCGAGCTCCTCGCCCTCGAGCTTCGCGGCGTCCTATACAAGCGGCCTGAGCAGCCCGTCATCCAGCAGTTTCGCCTCCAGTCGCTCACCATCGATGGAGAGTGGTACCGGTGGCGCAGGCACGAGGAGTACGATCCGCGTGCACTCTGTGACCTGCTCGTCCTGTTTCCCGAGCTTAAGAAGCTTGAACTCATCAGGGTGGAGTGGGCTCCAGGTGACGGTGACTACGTGGAACCCGGCGAAGACGAG